TGGAATTGCCAGGTTTCTTTTTGGAGTGGGAGGGAGGGGTGTTTTGGGTTACACTTGGCTATGCTCAAGACTCACTACTGGATCAATCCTGGTAATGTTTGGGAGAGACTATATGTAGTGCTGAATATTGAACTCAAGCTGGCTGTGTGCAAGGTCACTATTATTTTTCCACCACAATGTATTCATTTTCCAGCACAATGTTGTCTCTTGATAGGGGTGTGAGAAACACAGGTGATTTACATTTATCAAAACACATGAAGTCAGGGCCAAGGAAATACTCAAGTAACTGAGAACATACTTAGCATGCTAAAGCCAAGGGTTTGAATCCCCCAGCACCACTGGGAATGAGCCCTCAGCATTGAGTTGAGAGAAAACCCTGAGCACCAATAGTTGTGGTCCCTAAACAAAAGTAACCCCCCCCCAAAAAAACAATAAAATGTCTAAAATTATAGTCAAGATACTTACATTTTGTTGTACGGATATTTTAACTAAAAGTCAAACATGTTAAACTCCAGTAGTTATGCACACTAAGTATTTTGATGTAAAGATGTCTAATTTTGTAACGCATCACAATAAAGAATTGTCGATGGATGGAGGGATAAAATGCATTCAAAGACTAGTAAAATGCTAACTGTAGAATCTACGTAGTCATGGGGCTGGAGTTAGAGACACTTTGCTATCAATCTCCGGCACCACATATAGTGCCCTAAACCCTGCTAGGAGTGACCCCTGAGTTTAACAACAAAAATAACAAAGTATTTACATAGTGGATACATGAATTACTTGACTTTTTGAAAGGGGCATGGTTTAATCTCTCTGGTATCTCTTACAACCACTACCCTGATTTATAGTTCATTATATCACACCAAGCTCCTGGAAGAGAACAAAGCAGAGTCTCCTACCCCATGCCTGACTGTCCTCACCAGGGCCCGGCAGCCAAAGACCTCCAGAACCAGCCACAATCATGTTGAGACCATTCTCCACACGCACGAAGGTACCGGTAGAGGAACAAAGGCATGTGGGTCCCGGGGCTGAGATCTCCAAGCCTGCTCGGATCGGGGCTTAGCATTCTCCACCCAGATCCTCCATCTTCCAGTAGGCAGGTGTCATACCCACCAACTGCCCCCCAGCGCCGTGTAATCCCATCAACGGCCAAGACCCAGAGACTATAAAACCCAGCTCCCGGAAGCGTGTGGCCGTGAATGCCTTATTATCTCATTCTTGCTTTTGACAACCTGGCAGGCCACCAAATGTAACCTGCCCACACGGCAAAGTCTGGCAAACTCCCCGTGGCGTACCCAATATGCCAAATACCAGTAACAATGCCAAATACCAATAACAATGTCTCATTCTCCTAACCCCGAAAGAGCCTTGAATGTGGCACTTTTTAGAGTCTCAGGGCTAGGACGGAGACGTTACTGGTGCCTGCTCGAGGCAATCGACGAACAACAGGATGATTGTGATCGTGATCTTAAAAGGAATCTCACAACCACCTTCCAACTGGCCTCCACATTAACCTGCTTCAGTCTCTCCCCACCACAAAATTCACTAAAGACAAAATCCTGGACAAAATCAGACCTCTATGATTGGGTCCCTGCCATCCTCTTCAGCTTCATCCTTCCAACACTTGTCGTTTTACTTTAGCATGTACACCAGGAAAACTCAGGAGCTTATACATATACCAAACTACCCTTTGTCCTTTTGCTTATGCTTGGAATGCTCTATTCCATCATTCTTCTATGTTCATCTTGCTTGGTGAATGCCCTTCAATATTCAATCCAGGTCTTACCTCTTCCTAAAAGTCTTTGCTACTACTCAGACTAATTCTAGTTTTTCTTAATGCTTCCATAACACCCCATACTTATTTGTACCTAGTATGTATTCCAATATTCAATACTTGAGTATCCATGTGTGTACTACATGCCATATGCTCCATTCTCCTTGAGGATCAAGTCCTCAAGGCAACAACATGCACAGGACCTGAAAATCAAAGAGGCTTTAATAAACCATCGTAGAACTGAGTTTCTGACATTGAAATGGTACAAATAATTCTGTGGCACCCTTACAGAAACTATTATATATTTAGTTGTATCCTCCTCTTAGGAATGTAAAGTTCATCCCACCACTTTGTCCTTCAAACACCACTTTTCTCATTAAGCCAATTCCCTGCTCCGATCTGAAATGTTCTCTCTGATTCTATGAAAGCCTTCCTCTATGGTTTTATAAGATTACAAGCAGTGTTGAGCAAATTTATTTTGGAGTGACCCACAGCTAGCGGTGCTCAGGGATTACTCCTGGCTCTAAGCTCAGGGATCACTCCTGGCAGGGCTCAGTGGTACAAGGGATCAAAACAAGCGCCCTGGCCACTATACTCCAGCCCCATGGGCAACTTCTAAATAATGAAAATTACACTATAAACTTAGTGCCAGAGAATTAAGTTCTTTAAAGACACTGGCTACTCTCCTCCCCAAGAACCCTATGAAGCAGAGATTATAGCTTCATTTTATGGATGATGAAACCAAGTCAAAGAAATACATAGTAAATACAACATCACACAGGTGACAGGACTATATTAAATCATTGATCTCTGCTCCCTGGTACATCCTTTTCTACCACATCTTTAAAATACATTTCTTAGTTTGGGACAGGTTCTGAAAAGCCTTGAAGGTATTATTTAAAAAGTGGCAAAGCATAAAATACTCTTAAGCAGGAGGGAAGATGAAAGTAGGATTTTGAAGTGATAGCTCTTTGAAAGACTGTATGTAATTAAGTGTAATATAATGTGGGGGACTGCTAAACTCTTAACGGAGTAAATACAAAATAAATGCTATATCTTTCTTACCTGGTGAGTGCTGGCATAATGCCGTGGCCCTGTGGGAAAGGCAAGAGACTGGAAAGTGAGATATTTTGAGATTTAAAGTTGAAAAATGAATTGATTTGTGTCTTGGCTTTAATGAGTGACTAACTCCACGGTTATGCATCTCCTGTAGGTCTTAATAATTCAGATAATTTCAGCTGGGAAATATAGAAATTGATATCCAGACAAGTAATCTCACCTAAATTAGTTGGTTATAGAGAAATTGTAGGGCTGGAGCAATAGCACAGTAGGTAGGGCGTTTGCCTTGCAAGAGGCCAACATGGCTGACCCAAGTTCAATTCCTCCGCCCCTCTCGGAGAGCCCAGCAAGCTACCGCAAGTATCTTGGTGCAAGGCAAAGCCTGGCAAGCTACCTGTGACATATTCGATATGCCAAACACAGTAACAATTGTCACAATGGAGACGTTACTGGGCCCGCTCGAGCAAAATCAATGAACAATGGGAGGACAGTGACAGTGACAGAGAAATTGTGTTCTTACTGGAGAGTCTTGTGCATCTTTTAACTCCATACTGGAAAGAGTCAAGACTGAAGATGGATGCATTTTTTCTCCTTCCAATTTTTCGACATGGGCTTCTGCCTGGATAAGGAGTAAATTGATCACCGCTAGTTTATCTTCTAATCCGAGGTTAACGACAGTGCTTTGGCCCTCATGAAGAGGGTGAGATAGCAAATTCCTAGTTCGCCATTCCCAAAAGGGCTCTGAAATCCCTTTCTATTTCCCTGTTTATTTTTTAACAGGAAACACTTTTTCCATGTCCTAGATAAGAACTATTTCTATCCAAATTGTAATACCAAGATTCAGATTGAGAGCTAAGGGAGGTCATTTATCCAAAATGCCAAGCCGAAATAGTTTCACCCTGAACCCCACAGAAGCAGAATCTCTAGAATAAAGGAATTCTTATTGGGTTCATGTTTCTGTCACAGTGACCCTCAGAGAGTAGCAACTTTCCCTGGGTCAAACAGAGAGGGTAGTCATAGTAAATTTGGAACTGAGACTTTCAACATTACCCAGGGATTCTCCTCAGGACATGATTCTCAGTGCTAAAAGCTTACATATAACATGTGCTCAGTAAGAATCTGTGGAGTAACTGAGCTGCTAAAGGCTTATAACATGGTTGAGTAATGAAAGTGAGCTCTGGAGTCAGGCCAGATTCTGCTGTGGGAAACCACTGGCAAGTTTCAGTGGCCTTCGCTCTATAACAGAGCTAATAACTATTTCACAGGCCTGTGAGAATTCAGTGGCATATACTAAGGAAAATCCTAGTCCAGTATTTCCCAACGTGGGCAATACCACCCTACCCTCCCCCGAACTGGGAAATGCCACAATGATTCAAAGTAGTCGTTTCCAGTGCAATTGAGGAGGGTGATTTTGTTTGTTCAACTTAAAGGAAATAAATTTCTAGGGATGGGCTGGATTTCTCAGCAATTTTCTTTCTGAAAGAAAACAGTAGGCCAACTAATTTTGACAACCTCTGACACAGAATAATGCCTAGCACAGAAAAGGCACTTCAAAAATGGTAGCAATTATTAGCAGTGATAGAATAGAATAGTAAGAACACAGTCTCAGGACCCAGGTTGACCCTATAACTTATTATGTGTAAAACTGGGAAATTTCTTTGCCAGTTTCCTCATTAGTTGGATGCATATGTTGGGGAGGATAAAATGAGTCAATATATATAGAATGTTAAGAGCGAAGTCTGGCTCAAGAAAATGAGTAGTCTCTCTGCACTGTTGTAAGTGTTGGGAAAGGAGAGAGTGGTGAGAGGAGGAAGAATAATGTAGGAAGAGAGAAAAACTCCAGAACTTCATATTCAAAGAAGCAAGATACAAGTGTAGCCTCTAAAAACAGCTCATGAAAGTTGTGCTATGTCTTTCCAACAAATTTGTCAGGATCTTTGAATTGCTGTTCTCTTTTCTGCTTGCTGTACATTACATCATCTGTTTATGGTGTGTGAATCATGTGAACACTCTTGGGATCAAAGACCCATCCCCTCCCCACTTAAGGGATAAGACTGGGGCTAGGGAATGCTGAGTAGATATGACGGAGTGATAATGCATGATAAGGCGGCACCATCCCAACACCAAAAAAGAGAAAAGAAAAAAAGAAATCCAAACAAAGCAATTGCCAAGATAAATCACTTTTATCTCTATAGGAAAGGAAGGATCTAAAAAAAATATAAATTACATTAGTAACACAACATAAGAAAAAAATGGGGAAAAACAATAAAGAAGTCTGTATGATGCTATTCTAACCTGTTTATAAAAAGGCCCTGCATCAGAAATTCACAATCCTACCCACTTCTAAAAATATATTTAGACATGTACAGAAGCGGTGGGCTTGCTTTTAAACTGCTTTTTTTTTGTAAAAATATATTAAAGGTGAATAGAAATCCTCTCTTCCTGCCCCCATCTAACCCCCAGCTCTGTGCTGGTGATTAGAGACTAGAGGTAACTCTCAGCATGTTCTAAACCAGTGGTTTTCAACTGCCAGTCCACAGTCTGCAGAAATTTCCTGCCGGTCCTCAAAGTTATTGCCACTTAACACATGGTATGCCTGGATCACGTAGCAGTAGAGTGGTACAGTGCTGCCTGTGATGACAAATTTAAGTGGCAGTATGTAGATGAACATCATTTTGTCAGTCCACAAAACATTTCCATCCATCTTCAAGAGCAAAATGGTGGAAAATCACTGTTGAAAAAACCTTGATTATTATCAGTATCAACCCCTCCTAGCTCACTTCACTGAGAAACTGAAAAGGAGGGGGGGCGGGGAGCACACTAGCCTCTTTGGAAAAGCAAAACCGAAGGTAAACTTGCTTTTCATTTGAAACAAAAAACAAACAGAGGGCTCTGAGAACCCAACTAAACTAAACCCAGTAAAATGGAGGTTGGTTTCAGTTCCACAGAAACTTCTTATAAAGAAATAGAGCAAAGAGATTCAGAATGAGGGAAGGGGGATTTGCTAGCAATTAGCTGCCTTTGGAAGATCAAAGGGGAGGTTAATGGGCAAAAGGGGTGGGTTTCTGGTCTTGGTGACAGCAGTCAGGCAGTTACTTACACTGGGACACAGGATATCCCCTCCTTTCTTCTCACTATCCTCTGCTACTTTGAAATCCCCAGATAAAAGCAAAGCTGGGTGGAAACAGAGAGGAGAGTGGTGGGGACCTCACATACCAGGGGGAGGTAGCCAGGCTTTTTGCCTTTGGTGTGACTAGACTTCTTGATCTCTGGGGTCCCCAAGACAGAAAAGGGATATGGCATAGACAGTGTTAAGGAGAAAAGAAAGACAAACCGTAGACAAAAAGATTACAAGGGAAGGCTTACACATTCCCTGTGACCTGCATGGAGTGAAGTTCCCCAGAAGCACTGAGGCTGAAGTGGGGAATAGAGAGCAAGGTCGTGCTCCACTTGGGTAGTGCCAAAATGGAAGGGGGCACTCTCCTTTCAGTCCAGGTTGCCAAGGAGGCAAGGCCAGAAGAAGTGAGGGAAACAATGGCATGGAGAGGAGGGGGTGGGCACTGTCTGAACAACAGAGATGTACACAAAGAAGGTGATCAGATGATCTGCTCCTTTTCAGATGGTGTCTTCTCTCCTGTGTGTGGACTTCTAAGTGGCCTTTTTGCACACTGCTTGAATGCCGACTCAATGTCCAGGAGTGCAAAAGCCAGGAGTGAAAGCGTGAGTTCTTTGTTCTTCAAGTGGGAAAAGAAGCAGAGTGTTTCCCCATGTAGAACCCAGGGCTGAACTCCAGCCACACTCTTTACAGAAGGTCCAGGATGCTGTGTGGTATAGATAAAGGAACAGGGGTGTCTGCTTCAGATGTAGGTACTTTCAAGCTTCTGGAAGGTGGTTTTTAATCTGCTGGGGTTGAGTAACAGCCACATAATGTTCTGTAGGACTTCATTCCTGGCAAATTCTGGGGTCTCACAAATACAAGGGGCTTCATTTGTAGCCATACCCAAGTAGCTCCCTCCAGGGGACTACAAAATTATATCAAGGTTTTAGGCGTCATTCTTTTCTCCATTCTGAGAGGTGAAAGGGATCTCCTATTTTCCCAAGGATGAGTGAAATCAGCTCATGGTTCTTCTAGGCCATCTCTCTGTAAGTGGCCTGCGCTGGGGCAGTAAGGAAACTCTCTGGACCCTCTTCTTTTATTTTCATGAAACATTTGGCAAGAGGGGGCAGAATCTGGAGGTGAGTGACATCTGCTGGGCGAAGGAAGGGGAAGAAAGAATGGGCAGATGTGGACAAGTTACTAGATAAAAAGCTATAGTTGTAGAAAGTTAAATGCTGGGATCCCATGGGCAGGGAAATACCCAAGGATTCACGATTTCCTTGTTTCTCTCCTCCAGCAATCAAGCTATAGGTAGGGATGAGATTAAAGGGCAGGCAAAGCCCATGAAAGGGAAATAGGTTGGAGCAGCAGAAAAGAGGGTGTTACTTTGCTAGAAAGTTGTCCCATTTAAGAGCAACTCGGAGGCATCGATAAAGAAGGTAGGACGCTTTAGTAGAAGTGGGGAAGGGTGTTGGGGGAGTCCATGCCTTTGGTCAGTTCCAAGAAAGCAGGACAACGCGCCTCAGCACCTTGTCCGGGGCCAATACGATCCAGGAGTGCCCCGAGAGTTGACAATGGAGAAGGCAATGGGGTTGAAAGGGTCAGGATCAGCACACAAGGAGGTTCACAGAAGTAGTTTGCCATTTCTGTGGATTTTCAGGATACGGCCAAGTCTCTGCTTTGCTGTGGCCAGGCCCTTTTTGGGGCGCTTTCCTATGGGGAAAGGAGAATAAGCAAAGGAAATAGCAACTCCAGCACCAATTTTTTGCACATACCCCTCTCCTACCTCACCCCATTCCTTTGTCCCCCACCTCATCTCATTTCTTCCTTATACTTGGCTCCAGGTCTATGTTTGGGAAGACATCTTCCTTAACTACTTCCATCCAAAGCCACATGTCTTGGCTTTTTCTCCTAATTCCTGCAGCATCTATGAATTCTTTGGTAAGAGCATAGTTCCTTTTCCTCAATTATTTCTTTGGTTCTAATCATTTTCCTTCCTAAAGTCTGCAGGGAGAGTTGACTGTGCATCTCCATCATTTTTATACTGCCAACCAGGATTAGATAAATGCCTGGTTAGTGATTATAGCTTGGAATCCTGAAATTGCCATCCTCAGGGTCTTATTTCATTAGAAACCCCCAACATCATTACCTGACCTGTGTACTCTAGAAATCTGGTTTTGAGAGTCAAGAAGAAAAAGGAAAAGGAGGCTTGTCTTCCTTGCCCCAGCTATTCTTCTCACCCCACATCAGATCATTTCCTATATGCCATGTGATCTCTTCCATGGTTGATCAATTTCCTCCTCCTCCTCATTTCCTTTGCTAGATTCCTACTCTTCATTAAACCTGTATTTCCTTTCTAGACATCCCTTCTGCAACCTGCTCTTCATGCTGGCCACAGAAGGATCTTTGTAAACCTGTATCTGTGTTTCTCTCTGCTTAATGACAGTTAATATCTCTTCAAAACTTATGAGATCAAGTATCTGAGGTTGGCCATCAGTGTCCTCAGATATTCACTCTATCAGAGGGCTTAGGTGACCCTATAATCCTTCTCAGTTCTACAACCACATGGTAGTCATACCTTGTCCTACTTGACTGCTCTGTGAGCCAACTGAAGGACGTCGCTGGGTCAAGAAAACACCAGGGGCCATGGGTGTGGTGCTACGGTTTGCCTGGGCCATACCAAAAGCACTGGGGCGAGCAGTATATTCATGGTCAGCAAGACTTCCAGAGAGTGCTTCTTGTTTAGGCTCAGGAGGCGGCAAAGGTGAGGAGGAGGTGAGAAGTTGGGGTGTAACGGCGAGAGTGGGAGCTGACGCTGCCACACTAAGACTTGAGTCTTGAAGGCGAGGCTGTTCTATCTCCTTCAACAATGGTTTTTTCTTGATACATTTCTTCTTTTGGGCCTTTTGCAGCTCCTGAAATACAAGCCAATTGGGAGGAATAATATAAGAGTAAAAAAGAGAATTTCCTAGAAAGGAAAGTAGAAAATGGTGAATATGGTTCTATTACTCAACCTTACCTCAAATGTATCCTGGATATATGTAAATACATATAGGCTTTCTGAAACCTGAGGTCATCTCTTTGGTACCATCTGTTCTTAAGTCACCAATGCCACTAGTAAGAACAGTGGCAAGAGGAGGGTGATGGAGTTCAGAGACTTGGGTTTTGGTCCTAATGTTGTATCTTAAGTGGTAGACCATAACACTTGGAATAATAGCTAAATGTATGGCAGCAGCTGAGGTGCTTTACATACTTTATCTCATTTAATCATCAGAATATTCCTAAAAAAATTCCTCAGTGTACAGATGAGAAAACTGAGGCATAAAATGTTTTTTTTTTCTTTTTGGGTCACACCTGGCAGTGCACAGGGGTTACTCCTGGTTCTATACTCAGGAATTACTCCTGGTGGTGCTCGGGGGACCTTATGGGATGCTGGAAATTGAACCTTGGTCGGCCCCTACCCAGCGGGTAGGTCGGCCTACCCGCTGTGCTATCACTCCAGCCACAGAGGCGTAAAATGTTTCAATAAAAATTTTTAATTAAATGAAAAAAAAGTAATTTGAGCTCAAAGCTTCACAGCAGAAGAATTATTCATTATTCAACTAGCGTGCCCAAATACCTATATGCATACTTCTCAAACACCTGAGAAGAAAAAAGTAGTAACTCTTGAACAAAGGGAACAAGCTCAAATCCAGGTCTTTGCTCCCTATGTTGGATAACTTCACACAAGTTCCTAACCTTTCCAAGTCCAAATGCCCACCTGCAAAATACCCACCTTTGAGGATTGTTTGAAAGGTTAAATAATGATATAAAAACACAGCACACAGAATGGACTAGAAAATGATAAAAACTATTCTTTCTTACAATGATTTCTCTTACTCTTTCCAGTCCTTTTATTTTAATAGAAGACTTAATCCTCCGGGCCATGGGAGTCTTAAAACCTCAATTTTGAATGGGACAGATGACAAATGCATTGTCACTTTTCCCAGTATCTTGAAATTCATCCATCCACTGCTTTATGGATCTACCATCCACTGTGTAGTGTGTTTTGGGTCTCTGGAGCCTGAGAACCTGGTGTTGATAGTATGTAAATGCTTCATCTTCTGAGATGCTGCTTCTGAGATGAGTGTTAGGAGCCTCACAGACAAAATCAGTGATTACATTTATTTGCCTTCTCTTGGCAACACAGGCCTGACTCTGCCTTCAGAAGATCTGGCAGGCTATGTAGTTACCATAGGTATTTCTGGGAGACAAGAATAATAATATTAGTAACATATGCCTAGTTTAACTCATTTAGAGAAGAAAGATTCAGAATTCTGTTATTAAGAGAATAAACTATGACACAGAAAGGCAAAGTCATTTCCCTAGGGTTATAAAACCAATCAATAAGTAGACAATCAGGGATTCAGGCCCAAGCCATTTGGCTTCAGAATCTTTGTTGGCCACAGTGTTGTTTCACACACACCAGGAGCTGCATTTCTATTCTCTATTTCTAAATTTCTCTCATTCAAATATAGAAGTGATCATGTATTGATTTTTCTACCTTTGTTGTCAATCTCCTCATATAATTCATCCAGATTCCATCAAGAAGACTAGACTGTATTATGACAGGGCCCCTTTTGCTTCATTAAAAAAGATGTTACTAGGTCCCCGTGCAAGTTCTAATTCTCCACCTGGTTTTCCATAATCAGGCAACCCATAATGGTAATTATGAAAAGCTAACAAAGTAGTACTGAGAAGCTAATAGAGTAAGTAGTACTTAATCTGTGGCTAATATAACTTTGAGAACTTTTACATATATATTTTATCTAATCTTCATTTAAAACCCACAAGGAAGCTGAGGGACAAAGAAAATAACTTGGTGAAGAAAGATTCAAACTAAGGTAGCCTAACTCACTAATTCACTTTTAACCTTTTGGGGGGTTTGTTTTGGAGATACAGTTCCTAATCTCTTTGTATGCTAACTCATTTCCCACCATGAGACGTCCAATCCAGAAATATCTACTCATTCATCTTTTATTCACTCACCCCAAACTACTGACTAAACATATGTATACACACTCACACACTGAGGTACTTACAATTTAAAAAGGAACACAAGGAACACAGAAAATATGGTACTATGATAAAATGCTACAGAAAACAGAAGGCTACTGAAATCAACTGGTGTGAAGAGGGTGTTAGGAGTGTTTTCTGAAAGAGTGTAAGTTCCAGTGAACAGCAAAGAGACAGAGGCATAAGACAATCTGATATAATGAATAAACACTGAGTATTACAGTACAAATATATGGCTAGCAAAAGGCATGCCTGAGAGTCTGGCTAGATATTAGGGAGAAGAGGTGACCAGGAACCAAATCACAAGGGCCTTATGTGCCATATTGAGGAATTTCCTTCTTCTGGAATGCTTCCCTGTTTTCTCCAAGAATTTAGCCTGCAAAACTAAGTAAAAAATCTTCTTTGATGTAATATTTGATTGACCAAAACAGAAGTGAGTACTGTAAAAGGCACTAAATAGTTTACACATCTTTAATTAACTTATCTGTGGAAGGGGGCAAGAAATAGCTCAAAGGGTTGCATGCATGCTTTCCAAACACTGCTGGGGTGACTTCTAAGCCAGAAATAGCCATTGAGGGTAGCTGGGTGTGACCCCCCTCAAAATTAATTTATAAGTTTATTTAAAGTAGTTAGAGCCCTTTATCAAATTACATGTGTGTGTATTTATATATACTATATATATGTATATGTATAAAACCATATATTACATATTGAGGGAAATTTCGGTCAAAAACGGCCTCTGGTCTGCTTATTCTCTGCTAACTCCCAGTAATAGCCTCTGAGACATTTCTAAACAACTCTAGAGTTCCATAGAACAACATATTAAAACATTACTGTTAAATTTTATTTAAATAGTATAAATTATTAAACTATATACATTAAACTATTTCATTTTTATTTGAATATCAAGTAACATGAAACTTGTAGTTAGAAGATATGAGTTTGAATCTTGTCTCCTCCTCCTACTGGCTGTATTATTCTGGACTAGTCACTTAAAGAGAGCCTCATTTTCTTCACCTGTAAAATGATGAAAATATAACCTATTGAACAGGGCTACTAGGTAAATTACACGAGACATAGTACATGGAAGAACTAACACAAAGCAGATCCTCAATAAATACTCTAAACTGAAGGATGAAACATGAAGACCTAAAGGGATGATTTACCTCCCATGGTCCACAAAGTTAATAGCGTATTATATACATTAAAAAACTTTGAAAACTGCAAAATGTTAGATGAATTCTAATGAAGTGAGTCTTGAAGGACAAAAATTAGCAAGTAAAGCCTTCTTAAGGAAGAAGGGGTAAAGATCAAGGAAATATTGTTTGTGAAAGTGGACAAGAGCAGTCTCTTTGCCCAAAATCCAATTTATGTGATACTGGTGGGTTCCGAGACCCTTAGTGTACTTAGCTGAGTCATTTATTTTGGGTTCAATATGAAAGCAAATGTTTTTATCAAAGACAAACTTAATCCTTTTCATCTTAGAGGTTTTTATATAACTGAAAAAGCAAGTGACATCAGCAAGGACACATCTTCTATTTTCTTTCATTCTACACCTTGTCAATTGTATGGCCTGTAAAAACAGCTTGTTACTGAACAGGGATAGGAAAGATCAGTGGGATCCTATCAGCCTAAAGGTCTGAGTTTTGAGACTACATCATCAGTAGTCTCAGCAGTAGAGTCATTGCCTAGGCCTGCTTGGCATCACCTACCTGCTGAGCCAGCTTTGCAGCTGCTGCAGCCAAGCCTGTCTCAATGGAAGCTACCCGTGTTCCCTCACGCACAGGACGATCCTGCTTTGGTAGAGTTGGGGTCACACGAGCTGCAGAGGAAACAAAATAGACATTTATCTGAATGCTAAACATGAAAGTCATCTTATTCTTCTTTCTGCTTCTAGCTATTTATAAATCTAGATGTTTGCTTCCCATCAACAAGACTTAATTTCACAAATGCCCAATGTGCACAGAGAACCCATTGTATACCTTAAAAGTTAACCTTCTTGAAGTAGTATTTCATTTCATGGCATTAAATTAATTAAATAGTAGAAATTTAATTAAAGTAGAAATGCTAGTTCTACTTCTGGCCTACCTATTTCCATTATTTTTTTTAAATTAAAAAACTATTTTTTTATTGAGTCACCGTGAGCTACAGTTACAAAACTTTAATGGTTGAGTTTCAGTCATACAATGATTGAACACCCATCCCTCCACTAGTGCACATGTTCCATCACCAATGTCCCCAGTATCCCTTCCCCACCTGTCTCACCCCTCCCCCTTCCTCTATGGCTAACAATTTCCCTCTTACTCTCACTCTACTTATAGGCATTATGGTTTGCAATATAGATACTGAGAGGCCATCATGTTGGGTCCTTTATCTACTTTCAGCACACATCTCCCATTCCAAGCGATCCATCCAACCGTCATTGACTTAACCTATTTCCCTTAATCTAATTACGACAACCATATTATAAACTTCTCCAGGCGCAATTGGTTCCATTGTACAACTCATCCTTTTTCCTTGTGGCTTCAATTTCACCATTTAAACTTCTTGGACCACATTCTTCTTTTTGGTCCATGTATTCAAAACTTAATCATTCTTCAAAGGTAAGCAGAAGTCAACCTCTATGCGAAACATTTAGGATCTTACACTGGACCTTTTCCACCTCTGAACTTATGATACGTACAGGTTACTTAACATATACCACATAATGTACTCAATATATACCATCATATCTCATTTATTAATATTGATATGCTGTTCGATTCCTCCGCCCCTCTCGGAGAGCCCGGCAAGCTACCGAGAGTATTCGATATGCCAGACACAGTAACAACAAAGTCTCCAATGGAGACGTTACTGGGCCCGCTCGAGCAAATCGACGATCAACGGGAGGGCCTTTACCTTATTCTATAGCTATCAGCTGTTGCTTAGTAGAGTAGTAGCTATTTCAGAAGACTCACTTCATAATGGTAAGATCAGGAAATCAATCTTTTAACTGAGTGACACTGATACTGAAACAAGACTTCATCTACCTCCTAACACAATATAAAAGGATATTTACAGCACTACCTGGGAAGAAGTTTTGCAAAAAGTCTAAAATGAAATGATTGGTTTATTATATTTTCATTTTCAGGAAATATGAGTAGAAAAGAATGAGTTAAATGGCACCATGAGAAATTAGGCATTTCTAAGATAACGGGTCTGTTTTCTCTGAAAAGGAATCAACAGGCCAGAGAGAAAGTATAGGGTTAACATACTTGCCTTGTATACAGCAGATCCCAGTTCAATCCTTGGCACCAGGCGGTCTGCCAAGCACCACCAGGGAGCAACCCCGGAGCACAGAGCTGGGGAGCAGCCCCTGATGTGGCTCTAGATCCCTAACCCCTTAAAACAATGACCAATGTCTTAAGACAATGTCATAAGAAAGCAAGCAGATTTAAAAGATAGGATGCGACAGCATACAGCCGAAGAGAAGGGCCCATGGAGGGCAGGATCCACAGCTCCCGGAGGGGAAAAAAAAAAAACAGGTTCCAAAAAGAGCCGAGATCATCAGGAAGTCCCTGATGGGGTAGGTACCACATCCCGCCTCCCCCAGATGGAACCCCGGTGACCAGAAGCCTCTACAAGCACAGCTCGAGTATGCAGGAACTAGGACTTTTCCTCCAATCTGCCGGGACTATAGCTCCCAGGTAACCTCTGATTCTGGAAGTCACGCCCACAGCCCGCCCCCCAGCGCCATCTTTACAGCATACAGCCGAAGAGAAGGGCCACATGGAGGGCAGGATCCACAGCTCCCGGAGGGGAAAAAAAAAAAAACAGGTTCCAAAAAGAGCCGAGATCATCGGGAAGTCCCAGATGGGGTACGTACCGCATCCCGCCTCCCCCAGATGGAACCCCGGTGACCAGAAGCCTCTACAACCACAGCTCGAGTATGCGGGAACAAGGACTTTTCCTCAAAACCACGCGGCCGCATAAGCGGCCACGCAACATCTCTCTATATACAAAGTGATCAATGGAAAGTAAACCACCCAACGTTTCTCCCTGAAAATCAGAGTTAAGTTTGGAGCACGGCCACAGCCCCAGAAACACAAGGACTTAATGCAGAAAGAGCAGCTTGGAGCAGAAAAGTGAATGGACTATGCGTTAATCCAGGCCATCATGTCTGCCCAGAGGGGAAAGGGTGTTGTCCCATTCGCCCTCTCTTCTCTGGAAAGAAAGATGGCGGCCGCATGGGAGCCTTGTGGACAGCAGGTATGAGCTGGGGGTGTGGGGGCGACTAAAACCTCATGGGAAGGGGGGCGTTCCGTTCCGTCCTTCACGCCCTACCGAGGTCACCAGTTGCCCCCCACGAGCGGCTCTCCAGCACGGCCACAGCCCCAGAAGCACAAGGACTTAATGCAGATCCCAGCATCTTGGAGCAGAAAAGTGAAAGGACTATGCGTTAATCCAGGCCATCATGTCTGCCCGGAGGGGAAAGGGTGTTGCTCCCTTGCGCCCACCTCCCTCTGGAAAGAAAGATGGCGGCCACATGGGAACCTTGTGGACAGCAGGTATGAGCCGGGGGTGTGGTGGCGACTAAAACCTCATGGGAAGGGGGGCGTTCTGGTCCGTCCTTCACACCCTACCGAGGTCACAAGTTGCCCCCCACGAGCGGCTCTCCAGCACGGCCACAGCCCCAGAAGCACAAGGACTTAATGCAGAACCCAGCAGCTTGGAGCAGAAAAGTGAACGGACTATGCGTTAATCCAGGCCATCAAGTCTGCCGGAGGGGAAAGGGTGTTGCCCCATTTGCCCTCTCTTCTCTGGAAAGAAGGATGGCGGCCGCATGGGAGCCTTGTGGACAGCAGGTATGAGCAGGGGGTGTGGGGGCGACTAAAACCTCATGGGAAGGGGGGCGTTCCGGTCCGTCCTTCACGCCCTACCGAGGTCACCAGTTGCCCCCCACGAGTGGCTCTCCAGCACGGCCACAGCCCCAGAAGCACAAGGACTTAACGCAGAACCCAGCATCTTGGAGCATAAAAGTGAAAGGACTATGCGTTAATCCAGGCCATCATGTCTGCCCAGAGGGGAAAGGGTGTTGCTCCCTTCCGCCCTCCTCCCTCTGGAAAGAAAGATGGCGGCCACATGGGAGCCTTGTGGACAGCAGGTATGAGCCGGGGGTGTGGGGGAGACTAAAACCTCATGGGAAGGGGGGGCGTTCCGGTCCGTCCTTCACGCCCTACCGAGGTCACCAGTTGCCCCCCACGAGCGGCACTCCAGCACAGCCACGGCCACAGAAGCAAAAGGACTTAATGCAGAACCCGGCAGCTTGGAGCAGAAAAGTGAATGGACTATGCGTTAATCCAGGCCATCATGTCTGTCCGGAGAGGAAAGGGTGTTGTCCCATTCGCCCTCTCCTCTCTGGAAAGAAAGATGGCGGCCGCATGGGAGCCTTGTGGACAGCAGGTATGAGCCGGGGGTGTGGGGGCGACTAAAACCTCATGGGAAGGGGGGCGTTTCGGTCCGCCCTTCACGCCCTACCGAGGCCACCAGTTGCCCCCCACTAGCGGCTCTCCAGCACGGCCACGACTCCAGAGCACAGAAACCAATTTCTTTTTTTTTTTTTTTTTTTATTTTTTCTTTTTTCTTTTTTTATTAGTGAAAAACCATGAGGTACAGTTATAGGCTTACAAATTTTGTGCTTGGGTTTCAGTTATACAATGATCAAGTCCCCATCCCTCCACCAGTGCCCGTCATCCATCCCCATGGGTCCCAGCATCCCCCCCACCCTCATCCCCCCCCCCCTCGTCCCATCCTGCCTCTGTGGCAGGGTATTCCCCCCTGTTCTCTCTCTCTTCTTTTGGGTACTGGGTTTTGCAAGAGAGGCTTTGAGTGGCAATCATGTTTGGTCTATCGACAACCTTCAGCATGCTTCTCCCACCCTGGGAGGGCCCTCACAACACCCTTCATTTGGTACTCTCTTCTCTATCTGAGCTTCCTTTTCACCTAGAGTCTGTGACTGGCCTTCCATTCATGGAGCAAAATTCCTGGTACTAATCTCAGCCATTCCTGTGTGTCACTCTCCCTTTTTGTTGCTTTATGTTCCCCCGATGAATGCAATCTTTCTGTGTCTATCCCGCTCTTTCTGACTCATTTCGCTTAACATGATACTTTCCATGTAGTACCACTTGTATGTAAATTTCATAACTTCATCTTTTCTAACAGCTACATAGTACTCCATTGTGTAAATGTACCAAAGTTTCTTTAACCAGTCATCTGTTCTTAGGCACTCAGGTTTTTTCCAGATTCTGGCTATTGTAAAGAGTGCTGCAATGAACAAACAATTGCAGATGTCACTTCGACTATACATTTTTGCCTCTCTGGGATATATTCCCAGGAGTGCTATAGCTGGGTCAAATGGCAGATCAAATTCTAATTTTTTGAGAGTCGTCCATACTGTTTTCCAAAAGGGTTGGACCAGCCGGCATTCCCACCAGCAGTGAAGGAGGGTCCCATTCTCGCCACATCCGCGCCAGCACCGGTTGCTTTTGTTCTTGTGGATGTGGGCCAGTCTCTGTGGTGTGAAATGATATCTCATTGTGGTTTTGATCTGCATCTCTCTGATGATTAGTGATGTAGAGCATTTTCTCATGTGCCTTTTTGCCATTCGAATTTCTTCTTTGCGAAAGTTTCTGTTCATTTCCTCACCCCATTTTTTGATGGGGTTGGGTGATTTCTTCTTGTGTAGTTTAACCAGTACCTTGTATATCCTTGAAATCAACCCCTTGTCGGATGTGTACTTGGTGAATATCCTTTCCCATTCTGTAGGCTGTCTTTGTATTTTGG